TTCTGTGTTCTGTTCTGTGAGTATGTCTTTGCTGATGAATCCGCGACGGATTTCGAAATGTCAGGCGAATAAATATATTGTCCCAACGACCGAGTCATCATCTACTTCTTAATTACTTCCTGGGACTCGCATGTTCGCTTGTATTAACGCTTAATCTAGTCGACAGACAACGCAGGGGTATAGGAACGCCAGCTAATAGAAGTGTCTTTGTGCTAACTTCCAAACGTCAGTCTTGTGGATATGTAAAAAGGTAACCTTGAAATTTAGCGCAATGCGCAAGGGTGCTCCTACTCCGTTATCCTGCCCATGGGCCACAAATGCTTCTTACCCTTATCTTTTCAGCAATAGCAAAGCAGTTCATGGTCATATTTAATCCGCAAGATGTCGTCCCCTTTAAATGCTGCTGGGCCATTAATGCGTTTTTTAAAGACTTTGCTGACGTGATCCTCTGCTGAACTCTAAAATGCCCAAGAATGTTGCTCAGATTCCCCAGTTCTGCGGAGGAACCAGATAGCCGACTTCAACCAGAATATTGCGCACAGGCGGGTCTCTAAAAGCCATTCAGGGTTTTCTCCTTTGGTGTTTTGAAAGGCGGTTCTGTCAACCCAGTTCCCAACTGCCCAGTGTACCGACGTGTGGCGTATGCTGGAATAGGGCAGGTAGACACTTAAGGCTGAATAATAGGCAGTTGCAGGCCAGCAGCGATAGTGCTACTTTAAAAGAAATTACTATTTAACATTCTTTTCCTGCACTCACCCCCCCCCTTTATTTGACTGTCCTTGTAGAGACCGAGGAACCAGTCGGGGACGAAGGTGCCGAAGACGTGTCCTGATTGGGCAACTGCCTCAATTCCGGTTTTGACCAAGGTGTGAGCTGTGGTTCTCTCGGCGCTCCTCTGCTCGGACTTTTTGCTACTACCCCGCACATTTTGTGCTTCGTTATTTTTTGCCACCCAATCTCAATAAAGTGACTGCTTCCATATAAGAATCCTCACTGAGATTGTCTGCTTGACTGTTAGCGCATTACACTACCAAGGCTCATCGACGGTCTTATAAAATAGCACAGTGTGACATGGCGACCATAAGTCGCCATTACGTAAATCTGCCTGCCATCGCTGTTTTGTGGTTAGGTTCGGTCCTTGACCCGATCCGAACGGCTGTCAGGGACTAGCCTGAACTCGAAAACTCCTAGAAACCTCGTGAAAAAAGTCTGATGCAAGCATTACGATCCGTTGTACAGCGTCCGCGGACATTCACGCACTACGCAACCATACTCTAGTAATACGGCTTGGACCACTTAGAAGATCACAGAATCCTGATTTTGGATGTTCTAATTAGCCAACGTTCGCTGACCCTGCTACCCTGGTCTGACGGACCTAAGTAAGAGTCTCGAACAAGTAGCCTGAACCAGTCGGGCTAACACAACTTTCACCATTAGGTGATTAAATAAGTTTTATTACTGCAAGTACATTTTATATTCAAATGAAGAAAATAATCAAAAATGAATGCACGTTGGGGAGGGGTGGGGACAAACGGCCGGGTGAAGAGAGGTGCGAATGATGCGTCATGCTTGGCGACAGGGCAGAGGGAGGGGTGCGGTTGTTTGGAGACCGGATTTTTAAGAGAAAGAAAGCGAAAATGGGATGGAATGGTACAATAGGCAGGTGTATCTATATGTACACATAAACGCGGGCTGGCGGGCTACTCCACCTTGATCACCTTCTCGTAACTGGAAGAGGCTGTCGAGATGGGAGACGAGTTGGCACAAGATAAACTGCTCTGAAAGATAGAGAAAGACACGTTTAACTCCTTTTGACAAAGCTGCTAATTTTAATTTGCAAGTTAGTGTTTGCGCATGCCTTGCTAAATGTGCAGAAGCTCACTGTGCGGTGGAAAGGTGTTATTAGGCGTGGGTTTACAGTAGAACCCTCTGAATTCCATTCGACACTTGTCCACTGATCAGACAGGAAATTCTGATCCGAACTGGGCTCTGCCGGTTCAAGTCTAGGAGCGGAGTTGTAGTAGGTAGTGAAGGGATCTAATAGGGCTAAGTGGGACTGCACCCCGATTTCACGACCCTTAGATTGAACGCTTCACTCATTGTTCTCATTGTCTATGATGGAGATGATGATGATGATGATGATGGTGCTGATTATGATGATGAGACTACTGTCTGTTTTGGTTACGGTTAAGTTTCCGAGCAGTTAACTCCTCTTCTATCATAGGTCCCTTACCCGTAAAGCCACTATTGGGTTGGGTCCATATTATGCCCCAATTAGCTTCGAACCCTCGCCGTAGCTGCTCCATCAGCTCGTAGTTATTTAACTGACCAATATCCCTAGCAAATGAGGCACAGGACTGCAAATACCTAAACTTCCCTAGTAGTATTGAGTGAAAACTACCCAAAGAGGGCTATAGTCGGGTATTTACTGTACACCGAGAGTCCATCCATGGATTTTGGTTGGTACCCGGTGACATCAGAACCAAAAGTTGCTAATAATTGGCCTATTCGACGCCTGCAGTATTGTGCTGAAAATTTAGGATTTTTCGCCTTAAATAAAGCAAGTATTCTCCCTATTCTGTCAAAAAAAACTCGGGATCCTTTGGATATTTCTTGTTCAGCTAAGACCTTTCCCAATCAATTTTCAGTTGCTGTCATCTATTTAGTTGCCTTTTGTGTCGTTTCCTTCAGAAGGTTACATATCCTTTCGAGGGCGAACGAAGTTACAAAGACGAATTTTCTCCCAGTTATATTTGTTATGCGTGTCAGGGGTCAAGCACAGAGGGGTTAGCCTGAGGCGTTGACAGCGTTAAAGTTAGAGCTCACTTGCATAAAATAAACTACCTTTGTCAAAAGGATTCCAGTGACTGTTTTGAGGGAAGTAGAGTGTGCGTGTAAGTACCTATTTTAGACGAACTCAGTACAGATAATCACTTCTGCTCTCGAACACTCCTGCGTCATATCAACCAACTATTCAAATTAATAATGCCTACTTTTTATTTATCAGTAGCCATCGTTGGTATGTGTGATTAGTTTATTGTGCTCCTTACCATCGAGGCGTCGGTGCTGGTCCGAGTTCGGCTACTGATGTCCTCGAACATTTTACTTTGATTCATGTAGATGCCCGTACTGGCCGTCGGTGAGGAAGCTTTAGTAGAACAGACGAGAGCTTGGGCGGTCTCCAATAACCGCTGCCCCTGCTGAAGAGGAAGGTGGCCCGGAGAGGCACGATTGGCGTCAGGGGACAGGAATACGTCCGACTGGTAGGTACCGACAGATTTTTGGGTTTGCGGGCGGAAATTGGGAGGACCAACAGGGATGGCAGAGGAGGCGGAGGAGGAACTCACTTGGAACGTGGAATGCGCTTGCTGTTGAAGCAGTGAGTGAGAATAGGAGGAGGCGGAGGATGATGCAGATCCTAGGGGTGGCGCTAATTCACCCCCACCATTAGCAGGACTGAAGAGGCTGTGCACATGCTGCGAGACGTCCACGACCTCGGGCCCAACTGAGTTGGCGAGACCGTCAATCAGTTGGGATTGGCTCAGCGGGGGCAAACGCAGCTGAGGATATGTCAGACGCCGGGCCTGCTGGTGCTGGTGGTGGGGTTGATGATTCTGTTGTTGTTGCTGTTGCTGCTGTTGTTGTTGTTGACTGAGGCCCATGGGATATGTGAAGGCCTGTTCTCCCACAGCGAGATAGTTATGATGTTGGTTCTGAGACAGACCGCCGTCGGCGGGCATCTTGTGCGCCGGAAATGGGGAGGAGAAGTTGTTCCGAAGGGGAGCGATGCCAGCTTGTAGGAAGTTCAGGCTTGACTCATCCAGTTTGTTATGTTGATCCAAAGAAAGGCCCGCTCCGTTGACGTGGGAAGCAAGCATATCTAGGGCTCCTTGTTGGGAGCCATCCCCACCACCGCCACCACCAACACCCCCCATCAAACTTCCCAAAGTCGAATTCAACGAGGCTGTGGAGTTGGGTTGGGAATCAGTTGAACAGCTGGCACTCATGAAAGGGTTGAGCGTCTGATAGCCTGGCGATGTCTGCATTTCTCTGCTGCAAAGAGGGCGTTGCAAGTGTTAGTGTGAGTGCTAGTGTATAAACGACAGAATGTGGCAAAACTTTCGAAATGTCTGAACTGAACGTTGGCTTCGTTTAATTTCAAGCGCAAAATACGTTTTACTAAGGAATAATTCGATTCAATTCAGTTTTATGGAAGGGACAAGAGGTCGGTGTTAGGCAAAATCGCATGTGACCCGATATTTAAACAATTGACTATGCTGTAGACTAGCACAGGCTCAGGCCACTTGTTTGTGTGTGTCTTGGTGCAAAGAAGATTCGTAGGGGATCAGTAACGCCGGCGTCACTTGTAGTCCGTTTACTACATTGCTACCGAAGTCGTACTTGTAGGCATATTCGTGGTTGGGGATATTTTCGGTTTGCAGTAAAAAAGAATAATGTCGTTATATTGTAACGGTGTATCTTTGCACACTAGGGTTCTGGTTTATGGTTTGTCCTTAAGAGATGAGAATGCATTTATGAACCATGCCCTACTTCCTATGCCTAGTAATAACGATTATTTGTTGCGATTGTCGAGCAACGTTTGTTCTTGGGATTAAATTTATTAATCAAATTAAAAATAATTACTGAAATTAAAAAGGTATTACCTTACCTTGGCCCCAACTCCTGCCTTAACCATAACCCAATTTCCTCGGAAGTTAGTGCAAAGCCACTTATCTTACTTGTGCCTCCTGTTCCCTTCTACTGACACGGGATGGGGAGCATATAAGCGATCCCAGTGTACAAAAATATTTCCAGACTTATTAATAATACTGCATATACCAAGACTATTTTATGTGTTATGCTATCCATCATCTTGTAACGCATCAGAGAATCGACAGAACTTTTTGAATGCACTGAGACTACTTTGACGCGAATCTCAGATGGGAATGGTGTGATCATGTATCTGCGAAGCTGACGGATTTTCCTTCCCTCTCTACTGCTGACCTCTTCTCTCCCCTGCTCTCCACGGTTAGCACACCCCATGAACCTTACCCGCAGTTGTTGGCAGTGCTTCAATCCCCAGCAGTGTCTAACTGCTATGTGGGGACCATCTTCCATTCTAACTGGGTCATGTGTACAGTACTGCATTATTTCCTTTTATCGTCATATTACACTTTTTATTTGCCG